CTTATATCAACTCATCTTATCGCATCATATCTTGTCTTATCTTATTACTCCATAGGCTGTCTTATCTTATCTATTATCATACCTTGTCATATATCTTATCTTACATTATCATATATTGTGCTATCTTATCATATATTGTAGTATCTTATCTTGTCTTGTCTTATCTGGTGATTATCATTGGGAGGAGGGAGGCGCGAGCGGGAGGAAGGAGTCCGCGCGTGGGAGGCGTCAGAGTAATAATTATTCACTGCGTGGGGATCCCCATATGTGCATCTCCTTGCTGGCGCTCCCTTGGTGGTGGGACTCGGTGAGGACGAATCTGGATTTAAGTGTGACTGAGCTGCCTCTCTCTCTGCTCTCTCTGCTCTCTCTGTCTCTCCCTCTCTCTCTCTGCCCTCTCTCTGTCTCTGCCTCTCTTTCCCTGCCTCTCTCTCTCTCTCTGCCTCTCTCTCTGCCTCTGTCTCTCTGCCTCTCTCTCTCTCTGCCTCTCTCTCGGTGCCTCTCTCTCTCTCTGCCTCTATCTCTGCCTCTCTCTCTCTCTCTCTCTCTCTCTCTCTCTCCTCTCTCTCTTCTCTCTATTCTCTCTCTGCTCTCTCCTCTCTCTCTCACTCTCCCTCTCTCTCTCTCGCTCTCTTCTCTTCTCTTCTCTTCTCTTCTCTTCTCTCTCTCTCTCTCTCCCTTTCCCTCTCTACCTCTCTCTCTCTCTCTTCTCTCTCTCTCTCTCTCTTTCGCTCTCTCGCTCTCTCTTGCTCTCTCTCGCTCTCTGTCGCTCTCTCTCGCTCTCTCTCTCTCTCTCTCGCTCTCACTCGCTCTCTCTCGCTCTCTCTCGCTCTCCCTCGCTCTCTCCCGCTATCTCTCTCTCTCTCTGCTCTCTCTCTCTCTCTCGCTCTCTCCCGCTCTCTCTCTCTCTCTCTCTCTCTCTCTCTCTCTCTCTCTCTCTCTCTCTCTCTCTCTCTCTCTCTCTCTCTCTCTCTCTCTCTTCTCTCTCTCTCTCTATCCCCCCCCCCTCTCTCTCCACTTTCTCTCTCTCTCTCTCTCTCTCTCTCTCTCCTCTCTCTCTCTCTCTTCTATCTCTATCTCTCTCTCTTTCTTTTCTCTATTCTCTCCTCTCTCTCTCTCTCTTTCTTCTCTCTTCTCTCTTTCTCTCGCCTGTCTCCTCTCTCAACTCCCCCTCTCTCTCTCTCTCTCTCTCTCTCTCTCCCTCTCTCTATCTCTTCTCTCTTTTTTCTCTCGCCTGTCTCCTCTCTCAACCCCCCCTCTCTCTCTCTCTCTCCTCTCCTCTCTCTCTCTCTCTCTCTCTCCTTCCCTCTCTCTCGCTTCCTCTCTCTCTCTCTCTCTTGCTCTCTCTCTCTCTCTCTCTCTCTCGTCACGGGCTCGTGAGATCAGCCAGGGTGGCTCCCCCTTGGGGCTCCCAAATGATGCCCCTGGCAGCGTTTTGTGACCATGAGGCTCTCAAGAGATACATGTTGGGGAGGCCAAACGGCAATTCTAGCTGAGGCGTCCCACCAAAATCGGCGCGAACGGGCTCGTGAGATCAGCCAGGGTGGCTCCCCCTTGGGGCTCCCAAATGATGCCCCTGGCAGCGTTTTGCGACCATGAGGCTCTCAAGAGATACATGTTGGGGGCGCCAAACGGCAATTCTAGCTGAGACGTCCCACCAAAATCGGCGCGAACGGGCTCGTGAGATCAGCCAGGGTGGCTCCCCCTTGGGGCTCCCAAATGATGCCCCTGGCAGCGTTTTGTGACCATGAGGCTCTCAAGAGATACATGTTGGGGAGGCCAAACGGCAATTTTAGCTGAGACGTCCCACCAAAATCGGCGCGAACGGGCTCGTGAGATCAGCCAGGGTGGCTCCCCCTTGGGGCTCCCAAATGATGCCCCTGGCAGCGTTTTGTGACCATGAGGCTCTCAAGAGATACATGTTGGGGACGCCAAACGGCAATTCTAGCTGAGACGTCCCACCAAAATCGGCGCGAACGGGCTCGTGAGATCAGCCAGGGTGGCTCCCCCTTGGGGCTCCCAAATGATGCCCCTGGCAGCGTTTTGTGACCATGAGGCTCTCAAGAGATACATGTTGGGGGCGCCAAACGGCAATTCTAGCTGAGACGTCCCACCAACATCGGCGCGAACGGGCTCGTGAGATCAGCCAGGGTGGCTCCCCCTTGGGGCTCCCAAATGATGCCCCTGGCATCGTTTTGTGTTCATGAGAGAGTGTGAGTGTGAGCTTAACTTATCTGATCTTATCTTGAAATCTCTTCTTATCATATCTAGTGCTATCTTATCTTATCTTGTAGTATCTTATCTTGTCTTGTCTTATCTGGTGATTATCATTGGGAGGAGGGAGGCGCGAGCGGGAGGAAGAAGGAGGAGGAGGAGTGGGAGGCGTCAGAGTAATAACAAGAACCCCAATCCTTAGGATATGGGGAACAAGAACCCCAATCCTTAGGATATGGGGAATAAAGATGTCCGAGCTCTAGAGCACAGCTGTGCAAGAGAATAAAGGTGTCCGAGGCTCAGGGGGGCTGCCCTGGGAAGCCTGGGCGGGGGGGGGCAGGGGGACGAACGACACGACACGACACGAAAATAAAGGTGTCCGAGGCCCAGGGGGGCTGCCCTGGGGAGCCTGGACGGGGGGGGGCAGGGGGGGCCAGGGGGACGAACGACACGACACGACACGAAAATAAAGATGTCCGAGCTCTAGAGCACAGCTGTGCAAGAGAATGAATGATTGTTGCCTCTTGGGGCCCTCCCGGGAGGCCTCTTGGAGGCCTTTTGGGTCGTTTTGGAGTCTAAGAGCCATCTTGGGCGTCTTGGACACTGCATTCGGCGACTCCGGGCCCTGTTGGGCCGTCTTGGGGGCCTCTTGGTGCCCTCTTGGCCCACCTTGGGGCCCTCGTGGGCCAGAAAAGTCACGCGAGAAGATGCGACAAGCCCCCGACGAGACGCGCCAAGCCCCGGTAGATTTGGCAATTTGGGGCCCAAGCCCCTTGAAGACTCATCAAGTGCGAGGATTGAGGCTCAGAGGATTGGGCGCAGGCCGTAGACGCGCCAACGGCGATGCAGGTAACGGCGATGTAGGTTTCGGTATTGTAGGAACGCGCGGCTCGCGCTTTCTTACAATTCGCTGCGTCGTTTTCGTTTGCTACATCCGCAGATCGGAAATGTAGGAAAGTGTGGTTCGCGATGTCCTACAGTTCGGTTTCCAACATCACCGTTAGGCAACATCGCCGTTAGCGTGGCCTTGGGCAGGACCCGAGGACACGCCCACTCCGTGCCCAGCGGCACGGTGTCGGATCTACGCCGGCGCGCCTTCTGCTCCGACGCGCGGCCTTCCGCCTCCGAGAGGGGGGCGCCTCGGCCACCAGGGCAAGCTCTGCCTCCGACGCACGGTTTGCTGGGTTTGTCACGGTGCCGGCTTCGTCAACTGGGGCGTATCTAGAACAAGCGGCGCGGCGTCACGTATCTGTTCGTTTTATTCGTTTATTTGTTTATCAATCTTTTACGTTGTTTTGTTTACGTGTTTGTCCATTTGTTCATTTATATGTTTATATATTCATGTATGTATGCATTGAAAGGTTGATTCGTTATGCTTACTTATCGTATATATACATGTATGAATCTATGCATGGCTAGGCCCCCGGGCGGCCTGGATCGGTGCTTCAATGCCGCATGGGAGGCCAAAAGAGCCTGGACCCGCCAAGAGGGCTCCAAATGTGCCCTGAGTCCACCCACAGGGGCCCTCAAGGGAGCCAGAAAGCACCGATGCGCTTCCAGCACGCCGACCATTGCTTCGAGACGGCTCACGTGGCCTCCGAGATGCCTCAAGAGAGTTTCAAGCTGATCCCCGACAGAGCCGCAGGGGCGAGAATCATTGAGTTCCTGATTTGTTGTGTGAACCAAGAAACGATTTTCGTGTGGCCGTCTGCTCCGCGCCCAACAGGGCTCCAACATACCCCATGAAGTAAGAACCCAAAGGTGCAAGCACTGTTTGGGGAAAGTGTGTGTACGTATGTGTATACACATGTTCCTATATTCATATTTCATTAGGTTTTCCCGTATCCTGGTGGTGACCCATAGTCTGGATGGGGATGACGACTCCGGTGTGCAGGGGCTGTAGCCGGGGGACTCAAGTTGGCACAGGTTGAAGGTGTTGCAGTCGTTGCTCTCTTGCGCGCCCATTCTGGCCACTGATCTCCACCTCGGCTGGAGCATTTGCATGATGATCGTATTGGATCCTTGCTGCCGCATCTGCTCGTACCGCTCGCTCACCGCCATTAATCGGGTTGGCGCTCAATCTTCGTGCTCGTCCTCGTTCTCTGCACCGCTACAGTCGGCCCTGATTAGTAGGTCGACCCTGCCAGCTTAAGGGTACCCTTGTGTCCTGTGCCTCGCGACACGTGCCTCCTTACGCTTCTATGGCGATGTGGCCTTCGGAATGGTCTTGTGTCCTCTCGCGTGTCCTCTCCAATCAAGTCCGACTGTATTCGAACTAGCCGTGGCCGTTTTGGCTCGAGGCCCTTCTCTCCGACGGGCCGCGGGCCGAGCTGAGCGCTCCATGCGCCGCGCCTCCGCCGCCGCGGCGCTGCATCGCGCTGCACGCCGCCGCGGGGGTTTGGGCGGCGGCCTCTCCATCGCCCCCTTCGCCTCGCCGCGGCGCGGGGTGGAGGAGCAGCCCTGGCGGCCGAGCCCGACCTCGCGCGGCCTCCCGCCGCTGCCCAGCGGGGAGCGCGTGGAGGTCATGGAGCTGGGGCCCTTCACCCTGGAGGAGACCGGCGGCACGCTGTGGACCAGTGCAGGATGCAATTCTTTTGAGAGGTTGAGTTCAGCATCGGCGCCGGCACATCCGCGGTCGAGAGCCACACCGGTGCGGCACAGTCCGGCGCAGTCTGGCCCGATACCGCTCGGCCCGGGTCAATCCGGCGAAACCTCTCGAGCCTACTCCAGCCTGCAGTCGAGGTCCCCCACGGAGACCTCACCTATGAGTTGCTTCCTGAGCCCAGCTGCGCCTCGGCGCTCTGCCGCTGGCTCCGGGACGCCGTGCCCCCCGCGGCCCTCCGGGGCGGCGCGGTCCTCGAGCTCGGGGCCGGGACGGGCGCCGTGGGCCTCTACGCCGCCGCCCTGGGGGCGGGCCGGGTGCTCCTCACCGACGGGGGCTCTCCAGCGCTGCACGCCGGGAGTGGGGACGGTCAGCCACGCGCAGATATGGGGGTGGGGGGGAGGGGGGAGGGCTGTCTTAGCACCCCTGCTTCTCTCAGAAGGCGCGGGCCTTGTCTATAGATGTAAGGCCGGCGCCTGCTAAGAAGCAGCCTCCTTCTGAGAAGCCCTCCCCCCTCCCTCCACCGTCAGGGGCCCGTCGGACAACACATCTTGTCTTCATGTCGGCACGTCTTGCTCCGGTTGACGGCACCTGTTTTCCAAATGAGCAAGGCGTGTGGTCAGCATAGCAGGAGTTGTTGCCGGGAGGGTTCCAAATGACAGCGGCTCTTGTTCCACATGCACAGGCACTGCTGTGGGGCATCGTCTGCCATATTGTCTGTCTCCAGTCCAGGCGTGCCAACCAGCGCTGCTGGACCTCGCGCGGCGCAACGCCGCGATGAGCCGCCGGCCGCGGGGGCCCGTACCCGAGGAGGCGGACGTGCGCGTGGTGCCCCTGGTGTGGGGCGAGCCGCTGAGCGGCTCGCTGGGGCACGTCGACTGGGTGCTGGCCTCCGACGTCACCACGCTGCGTGGGCCCGTGGGCGCGCTCTGCGACACCATGGCTCAGCTGCTGCGCCGGAGGCGGCACGCCGCGCCGCGGGTGGTGCTGTCCCACGCGCGCCGCACCGACTACGACGAGCAGCTGGATCACTTCTTGGCGCAGGCTGCTCTGCGCGGCCTCGGTGCGGAGGTGGTCTCAGAGGAGCTGCTACACGATGAGTCCGGTCTTGCACTGGAGGTGTCGGTCTTGGAGGTGAAGCCATCCGTGGCGATCGACAGCACCAAGTGTGGTCATCATCACTCGCTTGTCATGGTCGTGCCGTTCTTTCTCCCGTGTCTCCTTCCCCTCGTCCCTCTCTCCTTGATTCTCCCCGCCTCGCCCTCAAGAGAGCTCCTCAGGGCCAGCGTGTGTGTTACTTGTGGTCTGTGGGTGGGGGCTTGTTGGGGAGGATGCGGGGTGGGGCTCGGCAAGAGGCAAGAGGACGGGACGGGTTTTTGGGGGTAGGTGTCGCGGCTTGAGTAGCCCGACTTCCAGGAGGCTGCGGAGGAACACCGATCTGGAGCGCCAAGAGTACGTCATCACCCTATCTGGGGGGGATGCCCAGGGTCGGGGTCTAGTATCCCTTCGATTCCAGAACCCTCCTCCTTTCTCATCCTTCTTACGCCACATCCGCCAACCACCTGGGTCAATCTGTGGTGCTGGTTGACCACTGCGTAGGGGGTCCTTGTCGGGAGTCCATTGGGGGTTGCTCAGGTTCTGTTCGGTAGGCTGCGGGAGCAATCAGAGCGCTCCAGGGGTAGGCCGCCAACGACGTGGGCTCGGCTTGCAGTTGCACCATGTGTTTTTCCCATTCCGCGTCCGATGACGGGCCAGGTTTCGTGCTCGTGCGGGGGTGCGCCCCCGCGACGAGGACGGGTGGATGTTGATGCCAATTTCTCCGCGCACGGCGCTCAAGCAGCAGGAGGTTACGAGGGACAGGGACACAAGGACAAGGAACACGATGGAGCAGGAGGGGCGACGACAAAGATGACGATGTTTGCTTTTGGAGGCCTTCGGAGGTCCCCGGAGTTTCCTTGAGACTCCAGGATTCATGCTCGCCATGGTTCATCAAGGTCGCCCTCGTGTCCCAGCCTCGGCGGTAACCTGAGATCTTGGAGTTTGGGGGTTGATACCGTAGCAGTCGTTCCCGCGTGGGCGTCCAAAGGGTCCGTCGCGCAGGTCTGATGGCCACTCCGCTCGTCCCCCCCAACGCTGGCACATTAGTGTCAGAAGCCTGTGGCGAGATAGGCAGCCGCTGCGGTGCTCACAGGTGCATGATGCTCGTAGGTTCACCGCGGTGCTCAGAGGCCCGTTGTTTCGCTCGCAGCTGTCCACCGCACAGCTGGTCATATTGTGGTGATGGTGTGGTGCTGCTCGGGGCTCCCGAAGTGGTGGCGGTCTCGTGGCCCCGTTGGGTTCCTCTCTTTGGCCACTTTGTGCGCGGTCTTTCCCTCTTGAGAGCCCCGGGTGCCCTCTTGGGGCCCTCTTGTGGTCCTCGTGGGGGGCCTCTTAGAGCCCTCTCGGAAACCAAAAGGCTCTCTTGCGCCGTCTCGGACCGAAGGGACGCGCTTGCGAAACTCACGCAACCGTTGTGTGGCCGTGCCAGTGGCTCTGCCTTCGTGGGCCGGCCGCCGAGGGCGGCCCAGATGCCGAGTGCGGCCCCGCAGGGCCAGCCGAGGACGCGGGGGGCGCACCGGGCTCCCGAGCACGGGCCCACGTCGCTTCGGGGAGCGCCACGCCGCAGGCTCCAGGAGCATCCAAGAGTTCTTGAAGTCCGTGGTGTTTGGGCTTGTGAAGCACCTGCAACCCTCAGCGAACAAACACCGCCCAGGGGCATGAGGACATTCGACTAAGTGCCTGCGGCACGGCGGCGGGTATATGAGTAGGTGAGGAATACCACACGATTGGTGGCCCCAATGGAGTCAGTGGGTGATGTTTTTTTTTGCATTCGGTCAGCGAGAAGCGTGAACAGTGTTTCTGAAGTTTCACTTATTTTCATTACGTGACCGCGATCCGTCCAGCAACGCCACGTGCTCCATGCACGCTAGGCGCGCCAGGCGCATTGGGTGCACCAGGTGAGCTAGCGTCGCTAGGACGCCAGTTGCGCTGGATGAGCAGGCACGCCAGGTCCGCGAGGCGCGCCAGAGGTGCACCACATCTGTGGAAGGTGCGCCACACGTGCGCAGCACGTGCGCCAAGTTTGCCGCGAGTACGCCAGGTGTACCCCAGGTGCGCTACAGGTGCGCCGCATGTGCGCCAGATGCCCAAAGCACGCTAGGCGCGCGGGGCGCCTCAGGCGCGACTTGTGTGCTGGGCGCGCCAGGGGCGCCACGGAATGGCGACAGGCGCGCCACGCGATCCAGAGGTGCGCCACGGGTGTGCCATCGGTGCGTCAGGTTCGCCACGTGCCCGTCAGGTGTGGCTCAGGTGTGGCAGGTGCGCCTCAGTCGCGAGTACAAGGTACGCCAGATGCGCCTCGCGCGTCATGCGTGGCATGTGCAACAGGTGCGCCACGCGCGCCAGTTGTGCTACTGGTAGAGCCTGCCCAGGACACCCCAGGGAGCCGTCGGAGGCCCCAGAAGACACCAGGAAACTGTTCAGGAGGTGCATGAGCCGAGAGCCCCCAGGAGAAAGGTCCCGAGGAGGCAGCCAGCAGGCCCCGGGAACCACAGGCGAGCCTCAGGACCCTCCCTTTTCGAGATCAATTTCTGAATGATGCCACGTTGCATTCCTTCAGGAGTTGCAGGTTGGGTCAAATGTTCGAGCGCGGGCTTGCAGTGCAGCTGTGAAAAAATCACCGTACCAGTTCATCGCATTGTGTCTGTAGTAAGGCGGTGTCGGCTAAATTGTGCTCCACTCGAATCCGCATTTTAGGCATTACAATGGGTCTCCGTGCATCTGTGCTGCGCGTTGCCTTGCTACCATCCACAGAGGTTCAGAGGTTGAGGAAACTGTATGTCCGAGCGTCGCCTTCGCGCAGAGCTTAGAAGTCTGCCATCATTACACCATGGAAGCCCAGTCAGGCGTTGGCGCGTAGGTGCGCCCCAAACAGCAGGAACCGATCCGGCGGTGGGCAAAGGCAGAGGATGACGAACTTGGTTCTCTCTTTTATCTACTCTTTCCCCTCTACTCTGCTCTCTACTTTGCGCACCATCCTCCTCCTCGTTCATTTTCCACTTACTATCTACCCTCTGCTGTCTACACGTTCGTCTCCACCCTGGGCTCTCTACTTTGCGCTGCACTCTGCTCCATCATCTCTACTCTGTAGTATCGGGTTTATATTTCCCCGCTGCTCTGTCTCTTTTTTCTCTCTCGTTCTCTCTCAGGGTCCCGCTTTCGTTCTCTCTCTCTCTCTCTTTTTCCACTGTCCCTTTTCAGTCTCAGTGTTCTTTTTTTGTTGTTGTTCTCTCTCTCTCTCTCTTTGTACTTCATCCTGCATATCTTGTCTCTGCTCTCCCTCCTCTTTGACCTGTTTGTGCTCTCCCTGCTCCCCACACCCTCTCTCTATCCTCTCCTATGGGAACACGGGAACTCGGCCGCCCCGTCAAACCAGCAGAAACATTAGCATCAATATCCAGCGCCGGGTAACCAATAGCCTATACCCCGGCCGCACACCGAAGTCTGCGACACATTTTCGTTTTACAATATTGGGATCCTAAGTCCAGGAACCAGGAAGGTGGATCTCCAGGATTCTGACACCGCCATCCGCGATCGCCTGCCAATTTTGGCAGAATCCTTTGGGACCTTTTCAGTGCAAGCGCTGCGGGATAGTAGCGTGTGCATAGTGGTGTAAGCATCCTGACAGTGTTAGCACTGTTTTGAACTTGGGCCTGGATGCGCAGCCGAACTCGAGCCCTTGCCCGCAACACTCTTGGGACACTTCTCGGCAAAATCCATCTCCAGTAGTAGTAGTAGTAGTAGTAATAGTATTCAGAGTAGTCGTGGTAGTAGCAGTAGTCGTAGTCGTAGTAGTAGTAGTCGTCGTAGTCGTAGTCGTAGTAGTAGTAGTAGTAGTAGTAGTAGTAGTAGTAGTAGTAGTAGTAGTAGTGGTAATAGTAGTAGTAGCAGTAGCATGGGTAGTAGTATTAGTAGTAGTAGTAGTAGTAGTAGTAGTAGTAGTAGTAGTAGTAGTAGTAGTAGTAGTGGTGATAGTAGTGATAGTAGTGATCGTAGTCGTAGTAGTAGTAGTAATAGTAGTAGTAGTAGTAGTAGTAGTACTAGTACTAGTAGTAGTAGTAGTCGTAGTAGTAGAGGTAGTAGTAGTAATAGTAGTAGTAGTAGTAGTAGTAGTTGCAGTAGTCGTAGTAGTAGGAGTAGTAGAGTAGTAGTAGTAGAAGTAGAAGTAGTAGCAGTAGTAGTAGTAGTAG